GGACAGGTCTCCAGTCCGTCACAGGGACACCCGGACAGGTCTCCAGTCCATCCCAGGGACACCCGGACAGGTCTCCAGTCCATCACAGGGACATCTAGGGACAATTTAGAGTTACCAATCAGTCTAACACGCATGTTTTTGTTCTGTGGGAAGAAACTGGAGTACTGGGAGAAAACCCACGCAACACGGAGAGAACATGCAACTCCACACAGAAATGCCCCTGGCCGGGATTTGAGCCGACGACCTGCTCATTGAGAGGCGGTAGCTCTACCAGCTGCACCACTGTGCCGCCCCAGCTGGAACCCATGAAAACAATTTTGAAGCTGCAGCTTTAAAACCACCATAATTCTTAGCAGCAGTTTTTATTTTTTATTTTTATTTTTATTTTTTTCTTCCTACTCTACGGTGAAACCAGACGAATAAGAATAAGAGGCCGCGCTGATTATTTTAGCAGCAGCTTCGTGCACTCCGTCCATCTTTCAGACGACTGTACGTACATGTTCACGTTGTATCTCGGTGCAATGCCAATAAAGTTTATTCTGATTCTGATTCTGATAAGAATCCTGAATAATCTCCAACAATAAATCCAGAATTAGTCATCAGATGAATTTGTTTTGGTTTTTAACCCACAACGAGTTTTATATGGACATTTGTGTGAATCCCATGTTTTTCTAAACTTGTCTTTAAACTTGTAAATATAAAGTTATCTTAAATACATTTTACATCTAACTGCAGAAAACAAAAATCTTTGCTTTAATATTTGAGGCCGTACTTCAACCCAGAGGGCGAGAACTTGGGAGAGTGCATCACTACGTTTGGCGAGCTGTCAGATAAATCCCGCCGGTTTATTCCAGATTAACGGGTCTCGGATGCAGCTGAGCAGAACCGAGTCCACCTCTGTGCGACACACAGACGTGGGTCGAGATAAGAGAGAAACCCGACACGGACTGTGAGCTGAAGTCCACCGCTTCACACACATCGGTGTTCAGGCCGCAGACGGAGCCTCGAGGAGAACCAAATCCTGAACAGCAGGTTCTGATCATCTCTGCACGGGTTCTCTCAACCTCACTTTCAACACGGTTCTTCACGAGACTGAAAGGCAGGCGTCAAATCTCCTTCTACTTTATTCCTTCAGAGTTCGCCCTCAGTGCTGTGAGCACAAATGAAGAAAGTCAATTCCAAACATTTTCCCGTTTTTTTATTAATCCAGTGAGAATCGAGACATCAAGCTTCATGCTCAGTAATCCAGGTCAAAAATCCTGGATTTTTTTTACGTCTCTCAAAAAAAAAATAAAAAAAATAAAAAAGAAACAGTCCGGATGACCTGACTGAACATTGTTGAATTTTTAAAATCTGGATTATTGAGCATGAACCTTGATGTTTTGATGAGAATCAAGACGTTTGAATGTATTTTACAACGTTTTTAATCAAGGCAGGAAGAAGACAAAAGTTGACTGAGCTGCTGGAAAATGTGTCTACGACGGTAAAACGTTGCTTTTGAAAAGTTCCTGCTCTGAGTTCTCTCATTCTTCATTTGGTCCAGACTCTGCAGAGCTGTGAGCTTCACAAGCACAACTGCAAAATCCTCTGAGCTGCAGGTTCGAAACCCGCTGTGGGCTTTCTCCATGTCCTTCCACATGCACCCCTGAAGGGTCACTAGGTGAGACTGGACTCTACGTGTCCCTGTGATGGACTGGAGACGTGTCCCCCGCCTCTCCCACGATGACTGCGTGAGAAAGACACCACCTCCCCGAGTTTACAGGAAACAAACGAATTGACATGTTTTATAGATTAGGAAAATCCTGAGTCAAATCTGAAAACGCCAGTTTGCTTCTAAATCTGAAGCGAGTCGCTTGAGGACAGCCGGTCTTGTGTCCCAATGAGTGCAGCGTCCAACATCTAATGAAGGACAGAGTCAAAGACCAGAGACGTCAGGACAAACAAGTCAGAACGACTGGAGCTTTGTTCTTCACAGGCGACAGAAACCCCTTTGAGACCAAACGCTTAGATGGAGACACATAAACTAAAGAGGTCAACTAGCTAACAGGTTAACAAGTCAACAGGTCAACTGGTCACCTGGTTATATGTCACCAGTTTAACATGTCAGCAGGTTAACAGGTTAACTGATCAACAGGTTAACAAGTCAGCAGGTCAGCA